TGCCGCCGCCGCCAGCCGGGGCATAATACGGTAAATAAATACGAGCATGGGGATCCACGTGTGAACGAAGCCCCACTCCCCCTCCCCTTTTGCTTTCGCTCTCGAGCCGGCGCTTTTTTTTTCTTGAAATTTCCCTCTTAAAATGAAGGTGCGTGTTATACGCCTGTGCGCGTTATACGCCGATAAATACGGTAAATATCTGTTTCTGTCTATGGTTCTTCTTACTAAATATCCCTAAATATCTTATCTAAATGTAAACATTACACGAAAAATTAAAAATCCTGAAACCATTCTATAGTCATCAGAATCATAGCCACATTTATTACCAAATTATTATATAATCTTACACTTCTTCCTTAAAAATAACCATCTGGTTGAGTTCTTGACTGGTTTGATGTCCAGTATATGTATTTTTGTTTGGGGGAGATTTACAGCAAAATTGGAAAATCTGTAACCTGACTGTTTGCAGTGTTTGTAAGCCACCCCTACCATTAGGACTCTGGGTATTTTATTCAACAAGGAATAAAAACAATCAAAGAACAAATTAAACTTGCCAAAGCCAGTACAGTATGATACAATAATTGAAAATCATCAACAGCCATCCCAGGTCCACAGAATGATAAACATTCTGGTTGGGTCGGGATAAACCTGGTTGGGTTGGGACCATGTTCATAGCACGGGGGCTACTACTAAAAAGACCTACTGCCTGACTCGCATCCCTTTAACTTCTTATGGGGTGAGACCTTCTGCAGTGCAACCGATATATTGTCTCCTATGTGCATTGTATTGCTTTTTATATGACTTGTCTTATTAACATTTACCTACATAATTGGACTAACTCGAGTGTTGTCTCTTGAAATTTAATGTGTACATTGTCCTTACCCGGCTTCCTTTAAACCTTTCTGAATTGTCTCTTGTGCTTCACTCTTTCCAGTTCCGAGATTGGCTTAAAGCAAACTATGGCGAAAACCCTTTGCAAGACAATCAAGAAGCCCAGGCCCTTCTGCAGAAGTACAGACTCCATGCGGCGGATCCTTACAAAGAGTTCAGGAAGGCAGTAGAATGATATTCTTGTTTCGGTGACTGCAGATCATTTATTGTAACCTTCAGGATATAGTTACAACTAAGCAGGGCAACTTGCACCCACATCTTCCTGCACCTGCCGAAAAAGGATTGCTTGAAAAGGAATAATTGGGGGGGAGGAGCACAGGGGGCTATTTGGGTTGTTATAATACACCTTTCTTTAAATATTCGAGGAGCGGGACTCCAGAACGTGGACTCTGTTATACTCGTGGTTGATCTTGCCTTTATTATGTGGAGGGCCTACTCTTTTCCAGCGGTGTGAAAACAGCATGCCGCACTCTGATGGCCAAATACCTTTTTACAGATCCCTGCTCTTCAGGCTGCCTGCAAAGACAGGGTTTGGCACAGCTGCACTTTTTAAATTATGTAGGGTTTTTCTAAAGGAGGGGGGAATGTGTACCCCAGGGAGCGACTTGTACTCAACGGGAGTTCTGGTTTCGCTACAGCCAGGCCCAGAGCAGAAGAAGCAGCCTGTTTAAAATAGCAGCGATGTTCTTCAGCAGTGAGAAAACGTTGCAACCAAATTAAGCAGGGCTCTGTTTATATGCATGGTTGCTGCTCTCGTGCGTATATCTTCATTTAGAAATGATTTTTTAAAAGAGATTCCTCTCAAATGTTTTGTTTGAATCGACTCCAGCGAAAAATATTACAGATAATGTTGCAGTATTTATTGCCTTGGTGTTTGTCTCAGACACGTTGCTCACTCTGTTTCTTTCCTCCTTTTAATACTTCAACAGTGGAGGACTCTGAAAGTGTATTGGAATGTACAGAATATATTTAAAGATTAAGAAAGAATGGTCATGGCTACTGTGCTATAATAATGTTGAAAATTCCCCCCAAATACTACTGACTAAAACATTTTATTGTATATTGGGTATCTTGATGAAGTTTCATGTTTGACTGCTTTTCTCAGTGGAATATATTCAATAAAAGCTTCCGTTTTTTTTTAAAAAAAATAAAGTGTGATAGTATGTCGCCACTTTTAGAGGTTACCAATAATTGTGGCAGAGAAAACGTTAAATCAGTGGTCCCCAACCTGTACAGCTTGGTGGCCCAGTGGGGGGGGGGGAAGAGGGGAACCAGCCCGCCGCTTGTGCAAGTCGAGCTGCGTGCCCGCCCATGTGCCGGCCAGCTGCTTGCATGGCCCGGTTCCAAACGGGCCACAGCCCAATAGTGGACCACAGCCCGGGGGTTGGGGACCCCTGCATTAAATGGTCAAACAGAATATTCTGCAAAGACTGGAAATTATACTGGAAATGATTTGGTCTCTGAATTATATTCCACACTAGAAGGGGAAAAAATTCTTTCAGCTCCATGCTTCTCATTACATCATAGAATCTGACATTCTCTGCAGATCATTTGGATTCTTGGCCAGGAGCACAGCATTGCCTTTTTATAAAAGTACACAAACACAAAGACTGACATTCCTAAATGCATCCCAAAAACTAAAGGGACATTACCTTTCCCTGTCATACTCCGTAGTCAATGTTGAAACACCCACAATGCATTTAATACAGTACAATCCTGTGCATGTTTTTACTTCTCTCATATACTGCTTTTATCATGTTTAGTGATCGACTTGCAATTCTATATTCACATAAAATGTTCCATTATTCAAATGTTTTGAATTTTATATATTTATTTAAAACATGTATGGCTGCCCAGCTTCAATAAAGCATGAGTGCTTAAAGTATAAAGTACTTTACTTTATACTGAAAATATAAAGTAATATAATGGTGAGCCAATGCACCATCATCCAATTGGAATAGCAACATAGTATGATCCAAAGACCCAGGAAAGAGCCAGGGCCTTTTAAAGCCCAGAATGGTCAGAGTCAACTGAAGGTCAGGAAGAAGATCATTTCATAAGATGGGGGCCACTATACACCCAATTGGAGCACATGGGGCAGGCAGATAGCCTAGGGAGAAGGTAGATCCTGCAAACAGCATCTTGCACTGTCTCAGAAGCCTACTGGGAGTCAGTATAGATGATAAAGTAGTGGTGTCACATGGGCATAAATACTCATGGTGCTGCATTCTGGACCAATTGTAGCTGCCAAATCTTCTTCAAGGTCAGTTCCATGTACAGTTGTTGACAGAGGTGGTTGACCATAGAAACTGAATGAATAAATGAATGAATATAAAAAAATTAAGTTCAACAAGAATTAGATCAAACACGGTAGCTAAATACATGAACAATACAGAAGTGAGATTTCTCTTACCCTTATCAGAAACCTCCATTGTAAAGTTCCCCCATTGGACCCCCATCCAATTGGCCCAGCCAAGTTTGGAGACCCTTCAAGATATCCAAGAGGGTGGGGGTGGATTTCACTTCTAGCAGCCAAGTTCCCAAGGGTGGGGGCCACAGCAGAAAAGGTTCTTCTCCTATACCCCACCAGCTGAAATTCCTCAACCTCTTCTGGGATGAGATGGTTCCTCAGATAACTTGGTCCCATGTCAATTAATGTTCTGCAAGACTGATAACCCTATATCAAAAACCAGCCCAGCTGATAGGTTGGTGGGTCAGAGGAGTGATGTGGGATGAAGCTCCCCATTGTTCACATTTACCAATCTTGCAGAAAACCTATAGAAGCTTTTACCATCTTTTGTCCCCTGGAGTAGAAGGGGAAACTGGTAGAACATTTGTCAATTTCATTTAGGATCCCAAATGTCTCAAACCTATATATGGCAGTGAGGGGCTGTAGCACTTGCACCTAGAAGTATCCCATAGAGTGTGCAAAAAGGTGTTAGAGCAGGCAAAATAGTTCTGCCTTACTGCAGCTACCTTGAATTTTCTCTGTCGGGGGATAAACAGGGACAAGCAGGTTAAAGCAGCTATCCAATTGGCCACTCATAGCACCATCATTTCGGTAGTGGGCTGGTGTTTTACCAGAGCAGACTGTTGTGCTCAAAATACTGGTGTTTCCAATTGTAGATGGAGTCCTCCTCAGGCCTGAGATGTCTCACAAAGTGAAGCACAATCAGGATGGAGGTGGGAACATTCCTTGAAGCAGATCTGTAAGGGCATACACTAGTCAACAGTAGTGGGGGCATTACCTACAATGAAATGAACTGTCACAAACACTCTATACTGCACTGCGTATGCTGACAGAAGTTAGAAAATACTTTTGATTTGAAAGAAGAAGGAAGCTAGCCTCCCAGTGAGCAAGGGTCAGATCAAGGACATTAGGTGTTCCTATCCTGGGCCATCAGTTAGTCAGCATCTTTGCATGGGGCAAGCAGGACTTGTGGATGATATAAGAACATTTTTTCCAACCATCAGGCACAAATAGCACCTTCAAATACCATCTCAGATCATTGTGGTCATCCAAAATTCTCCACTGAAGCCTAGAGACATGGGAAATCAGTTCTAGAGATCAATAAGCTTAGAATTTCTTGACAAAACCGTGGATTTCCTATTTGGGCCACAATACTAGTAATGTATATTAGTTATCAACCCTAATAATGATAGTAGTGCATGTTCTTTTTTGTATAGATTCAATAGTATCCACGTGAATACGAGAGGTTTCTGCAAGCAGAACAGCCCAGGGGTGAATAAATATTTGTGCTGATCACAGAATATTTTTCTTAAGAAGAAGTGCATTGAATGGAACAGAGCATGCTGAAGAAGGGCATGGCTAGTTGCTGGATTTGTTATAAAGTAGGAGCAATTTATCGCGGGTCCCAGTTATTATTCTACGTATTGTGCCTCAAGACTCCAAGTACATATGGCAGCCAAGTAAGACACATGAGAGTTGTTATTTTATGTTCCAAATGGGACATGAGACAGCCAAGCAAATTCTGGCAGAATCAAAATTTGAACAAGTAATTATAAACAGAAAAAGTCATTGCTGAAATACCTCTCTTTCAAGTTGGTTTTTAGTAATAGTAGTACAAGGAGGAGGAGGAAGAGGAGGAGGAGGAGTTAGTGATGTATCCAGAATCTTATGTGGGCTGGTGATAATAGAAATTGCAACCCAACTCACTTGGAGGGTCCTTGGATTGGAAAGATTGAGAAATTGTGTGTTGATGTTGACGTACACTGGCAGATTTTTGAACTTGAGAGGGCTATGGATGTAGCACAAAATTCTGGCTTCTGAATAATAGTTGTTTGTGATATATATGTAGGGATCAACTCACATTTTTCTTCAGCTGTGGGGTGAAAAATCATCCCCTATATGATGATCAAATTAAATGAAAAACAAGTTAATGATTAAGCAGGAGTTGGGTCAGCGAGTCATTCAAGATATGTAGATGACAATGGTTAATGCTTTTGAGAAAGAAATGAGGGAAATCGAAAGATCACAGTCATTGGTGGTCTGAGGCCTATGCTCAAAAATTCCATGCTCTTCTTTCCTCTTTCAAGTCCTCACTCAGTACGAAGCATTTCTAATTTTTGTCAGGCTTCATACTGATTGTTTGAAGTAAACCGATTAATTTACTGCCAATGCTTCAGTGGATCTAAGGGACATTCCAAGATGAATAAGTATCATGCTGGCCTAAATTAATCCAGGTAACTGAAAATTACTTTTCATTCTTTCTTCTTTCTCCTCCTTTTATTTAATCTCCACCACTACTAAAGTTCTTATGAATGGGCCTTCTACCTTCACTATGGGTCTATAGATGTAAAATTTCCAAAATTCTTAAAATTGATCCTGAAGATTGGAAATTCTGAGAATTCCAGTTCTAACATCTATCTGGTGGTTGCCCAGTTAAGGCTCTACCTGGTTCTCTAATTTGCTTTGCATTTGATAAGTACAGGATTCTTCTGTAAAGCTCCACTAAAGCAATAGAACTTTTTAAATGTTGGCTATTCTGATTCACAATTCCCATTATGCTCTTCAGAAATCATGCTGTGTTGCAGTCATTTAACTTCCCCAAGCTGGAATCATTCAGGCATCTTGATGAGCAAGTCCTCCAGGGTCAGTATTTACCAGCCTAGGTAATCACTAGTCTTTCCACAAATGAGTGTTAGAGGATATGTGACTATCACTGATAGAACTTTTGTGTATGTATGTGCTGCCTTCCCCCGAAAAACTTCGTAATTGACACTTTCCCATCCAATGCCTCTACCAATGGACTAGTAAAAAAATGTTTTTCCATTATTTCTATGACTTGGACTGGAAGAGGAACCTACTAGAACTCTTGTCAGTTTTTCCTGGTGAAAAAAGAAGACAGTTCCACCATTAGTGGACTTATTTCATTAGTCAACTTATTTTTTAAAAAAATCAG